TACTCAAAGTAAAAAAAGTAAAACGTTGTTCTTTAGAGGATGTTTCTACCAACTATGTTTGTACAAACCTTGATGAACTTTGTGCTATATTAAAATAATAAAGACAGTAAAATGTTATTACATGAATAAAATTCAAAGTTTTAAGGGAATTTGGGGTAAAGGAAGTGAAACTGTAAATGTTCCATTGATGACCCTTCCAGTAAATCTTCCCAGCATTAAGGCAATGAACCTTTAACTAAGGCTGACAAACAAGAAATGGTGAAAGAGAAAACTGAGAAACAACAATAACAACAGTGAGAAGGAGCCACCCTACTTGTGACCAGCCAAAAATTGCACAGTCAGAACGATGGTTCCTCCATTCACTTCTTTAATTTTTTAGCAAAGATGTTTACCAGACTTAAGTTATTGACTTTGTTCTAACACCTGTTTTTGAGGCCGCAAAGCTACGTTCTGTAGAGTCAAGGTGGAAAACTGAGGAGCAGGGAAAGAGAAAACCAGCAAAGCAGCGTGCCACCGGCAGTCTGTCCAGGTTCTGCCACAAGCCATTAAAACAAATGCCCCATGTTCATACAGGGTTAAGTGGTGTAACAGGGAACTCTAGTTCTTGTCCGGTCAAAGTTTTGTCCCTGCGTCAGGAGGATGGGATGGCTCGTCAGATGATTTGACTTTTCATAAAACTGAGAAGAAGAGTTTGGTAGCTGAAAAGTGATGCGTCTTTTGAATGTCACAATTGTTGGTATTTTTATTATCATGATCAATATTGTAGTTTTATTTATTGATTAGTGTTATGTATTCAGTTTGGTACATTTTGAAAGTGTTAAGGTTTATATGGCAGCATGGACAAAGCAACTCTCGGGGCCAGCTAGGACACAAGTGGCACGGGACCTGCTAGCACGGTCTCTCGCGGCTGGGACACGTAGGCTCAGGTGGTGTTGCGTCCTCACGCCCAGGTGCTGACGCGGCACTGGAGGTGGTGGTGAACCCATGCAGGGATGTTAACTGGTGATAGTCACAGTTTAACATGGGCAGCTTCCTCCTGCTTCCTAGAACAAAACATTTTCACATTATTTTGTGCAAAATAAGCAAACTTGTCATTGTAGAGCACGTGGAGCTGATTAGTGATCAAGAGAAAAGCAGAAAAAGGAGTTTCACATTTGCAGTTTATGCAGATACATAGGTGTCAATAACATCTGATAGCAATGCAAAATATGCTGATACAAAAATTTGTTAATAAAGTTTATTTTTAAAGAAGGCCTGTACCACAATGCAGGATTATGGCTCATACAGGTAACTTTGGTGTTACATGGGTTTTGTATTGCCATGGTAACTAATGCTCAAAGCCTTTTAAGCAAATCCTGTATAGTATACAAATCTGGGCCAATTTTAATGCAATGAAAAATTTTTGAATATTGATCAATCATTGTCCTGCTTTCTCATATTAGATTGTAGTGCCTCTATGTGACAGGATAACAAAACCCTGCGTTAAATTTAACAACTGAATTAAAAATACATTTTCAGATTAAACCTCAGACATGATGCGTACACTCAGTTAATCAGAGAAAAGCCTTTTCTTCCTTACCGGCTTAACAATTTTCACATGAAAAAAGAGTAAAGAGTATAAAAGAACGTGACCTAAATGCAGAAGTTAAAGGTTTTGGCATTGACATGACATTCAGGAAATCAAACTGTGGGTGTGACATTTTCAGAATATTCCTTGTCAGGTTTCTATTTCTACAAAGCAAAGCAAAGATGGGGATCCTTCAAAACCTGCTATTCACCATCTGCAGTAAGTCGTTTAAATGAGTAGATAGTAAACAGATGAAGACCAAACGTAGATGTAGATTAATCTGTAAATATGTTTCGGTAGCGCAGAGCAGAACACAATGCCTTCTGTTGATCTCAGCCCTTTGTTTATTTAGCAGTAACAATGCTATTATAAATGTTGATGTGACAAAATAAACAATATTTTTTTATACTGTCTTTTCTTTACAGTCGCTCTGAGATGTGTGACCAGTGCAGTAGGGGTGATCCATGTGACTGGATATGTGGGGAGAGAGGTTAACGTTTCCTGCTCCTATGATGAGGGTTACGAGTCTTATGAGAAGTATCTGTGTAAGAACGACTGTGGTGACAGTGATGTTCTTGTTACAACATCGGAATCAAGGAAAAATAAATACAGGATCCATGATGACAAAACAGCACGAATCTTCACAACAACCATCTCTGATCTTCATTCTGAGGATGCTGGGAAATACTGGTGTGGGGTGACCAGAAATGGAAAAGATATCTACACTGAAGTCGAGCTGAAGTTAGCGCAAGGTGAATAAAATAATTCTTCTCAAAATGTAGTTATTTGAATTCAAGTCAAAATCATATATAAGAGACATTTGTGACTGTAAAGGGTAAAAGGTGACAACAGATAAAAACGTAACTGGCAAAAGATTATTTATTTTTTCTGTTGTAAATATGACCTGATAATACTGATGCGATAGATGGTTCAGTTTGGTTGATTTTTTCTTAACATCCCATACAGAAAATCTTGTTGCAGCAACCTAAATATAATCATCATATCTGTTCTGTGGCTGTAACACATTTTCTGATGCCGTCTGCATTTTCAACAGACAGCTGCTGTGACACTGTGACCAAAATTGAAAGTTATGAGGGATTCTCTGAGTCCATCGTTTGTCCATACGAGTCTCGGTACCAGAACAACCCGAAGTACATCTGCAGAGGAAATCGGCCCTCCACATGTCGTCAACAGGCACTGATCACCTCTGACAACAAACAAAATGGACGATTCAGACTTGACGATGACAAACTGTTAGGAACATTCACAGTAAACATTAGCAGTTTGACCAAAAATGATTCAGGGTCATACCTCTGTGGTGTCCAAAGAAACTCTGACCTGGATGTTTTCTCTGCTGTTGAGCTGAAGGTCAAAGGTGAGAGGCTATAATAATATTTAATTAAATCAGCTGAAAGGAAACACTTTCCTCTAAAAGAGTCTTTAATAGATTTGAATATTTTTCTCTTTCACTCTCCACAGAGTGGTGCTGTGTCAAGTCAATTAAAATAAAAGGTACTGTAGGACAGCCTCTATCTTTGCAATGCCCTTATCCTCCACAACATCAGGACAAAGGGAAGTTCCTCTGCAAGGGAGAGCAGCTCAACAGCTGCAAAGACATAACCAATCAAAGCAGGTTCCAACTTGAAGGTAATGGTTCTTTCAGCTCTTTCTCTGTGGTGATCACAAAGCTGGAAGAAGCAGATGCTGGGACATACTGGTGTGGGTCAGACTCAGAGAGGAGGCCTGGAAACTACACCAAGATTCAGCTTTCAGTTGGTGAGATGAAAACATTTAAATGAAAATAAAATTAACAGAATTACATCTTTTTTTCAGTCCACATTAACTGTTTAAACATAGTCTGTGCATGCTGGTTCTATTGTTTGTGGTGTGAATTATTAGAAAACTGCCAACTAAACTGGAGGACTTTGATCAGATTTGGAGGCCACTCATTGAGTACCTGGAAACTATGAACAAATGAGAGCTAGTCTGTGGACTTCACCATTGGTTAAAATAAGCTGATAGCACTCTGGGATAAGGGAAGGGTGTGGGGAGGAAGGTTTTTTTCTTCTTTACTTTTTGTTTTGTTT